TCTATACAATAAATTCGAAAAAATAAAAGTGAAAAAGTGTAGGAATCTAAACAATATTAAATGCATTGGAAGTGACGATTTTAGTGAAGGATGACGACTTCAACGAAAGGTGGAGAGTTTATTTTCAAAAATTATGAAATGACAAATACAATAGGAACCTAGCAATAGAATGAACTATTGGTACGAATGAGAGTGGAGGTCATAGATACATTCGTAGGATTATGATGTCGAAAAAAAGCTTTGAAAAGAATAAAGATACGAAAGGCTTAAGGACTAGATGATATCCTGATAGAGATTTGAAAGTGAATGGGGGACTGACATTGGCTGGTGGACGATGTTGTTCAACAAGTTGTTGAGAACAAAGAAAATGCCAGACGAATGGAGGAAAATATTGTCTATTTACAAGGACAAATGATACATACATAATTACACAAACTATCAAGGGATCAAGCTTATGAGTCATACTATGAAGCTTTGAGAGAGAGTGAGTGAGCAATGACTAAGGCATGAAACGAGTGCATTTGGAAACCAATTTGGTTTTATGCTAGGAAGGTCAATAACGAGGATATTTTCCTACTTAGGCTACTTATTAAAAAGTTTAGGGCAAAGGGAAAAGATACAAATATTCATTATTGATCTAAAAAATGCTTATGATAGAGTTCCTTCATATTTGATTTGGCAGGTTTTGAAAAAGAAGTGAGTCTCCAGACGCTACATCGACTTGGTGAGAGATATGTATGATGGAGCGCTAACTAGTGTATGAACAATTAGTGGAGGGATGAGTGAGTTTTCAGCGATAATAAGTGGAGGGATAACTAGTGTGCGAACAATTAGTGGAGAGATGAGTAAGTTTTCAGTGAAAATAGATATACATCAAGGATCAACATCGAGCATGTACGTCTTTGTCTTAGTTATGAGCTGACCTAACTAGGCACTTACAGGAAGAGGTACCATGATGCATGTTATTCGCAAATATTAGTTTTGGTCAATGAGACCCGAAACGATGTCAACCCAATGTTAGAACTTTGGAGCGATGCTTTAGAATCCAAAGGTTTCAAAATTACCCGGACTAAGACAGAGTATATGAAATACAAGTTTAATAAGAATAGGAGCAGAAGCGAGGAAGTAGTTAAGATTGACGGTCGGGAAGTACAAAAGAGATTGCACTTTTGTTAACTTGGGTAGTTAATCAATGAAAATGGAGAAATTGAGGTAGAGGTTCCACACAAAATTAGAGTTGGGTGGGTAAAATAGAGATGTGTAATTGGAATTTTTTATGATTGCAGCATTCAAATAAAACTGAAAAGCAAGTTCTATAGGACAGCGGTAAGACCAGCTTTGTTCATATAGGATAGTATGTCGAGCGGACGAAAAATAATATACCCATAGAATGAGAGTAGCAGAGATGCGAATGTTGAGATAGATGAATGACAAGACAAGAAGGGATAGAATTTCAAATAAATCCATTCGGAAGAATTTAGGTGTGATACTAATATGCGATAAGATAAGAGATAGTAGATTTAAGTGGGTTGGCCATGTATGGCACCGACCAAGTACAACACCTGTAAGGAGGTGCGAATTAGTTAAAACGGAAGGACAGAAAAGGGCAAGGGATAGGCTCAATAGGACGTAGTTCGAAATAATCCGAAAAGATATAGGGATTTATGGCCTCACTATGGCCATGGCCTTTAATAAACTAAATGACGGATCAAGGTTCGTGTAGCAAACCCTAATTAATTGGAAAAAGGCTATGTTGATGTTGATGTTCCACATTTGTATATGACCTCATGTAAGTGTCTCAAAATGAGTAAACTAAAGATTTAGGTGCGTCTACTGTAGTGAGTCGCCGCTGAAAAATAGTTAGTAATGGAATCTCAAACTCCACAATTCTATAATAAATTTGAGGGGAGTTTAAGCTAATATTCTGTATGTTTTTCAGGACCCAATTGTCTTAATTTATGCTCATATCCCCCCTTTTTTTTTTCTTTTTTTTTTCCCCAAAATGCCATTGGTTGAGACCTTAAAAATCCTAACCAAAGCTATTAACATATCGTTTCAGAAATTGAAATTCCAAATGAGTTTAGTGAATCTATGACAAGTGAGGTCCATATCTTCGGGAGAAATTGGAGGGAATCCTACCTTGACACAAATATAAAACAGTGCATCAAAAGGACATTAAGTCGTCACTTGTTTTTTGGGCGATGACCGTATCAAGAATGTAAGTATTGATTAGATAAAGGTTAGGGTTTCAGTAAAATAATTTGGACCACTAAACCATGAACCTGACATAATTATAAGACTTAAAAGAGAATATTCTAAGTTGGGTTTGGTTTGTAGGAGGTTATAAGGTTATAAAAAATTTGAGGGAAGTTTATGCTAATATTTTGTATGTTTTTAGGCAGTAAAATCTATCCCCAAAGTGTCTTAATTTACGCTAATTTCCCTATCTTTATTTTTTTATTTCCCCCAGAATACCATAGGTTGAGACTTTCAAATCCTAACCAAAACCATTAACATATCGTTTGAGAAATTGAAATTCCAAATGAATTTAGTGAAACTACCAGTTCAGATTTTCATAATTTTAACGGTTTTATTTGAGTTTTGGATTCGGATTTTCAAAATCCGACTCCCCATCCTCTCCTACTTAACTCAATTCTTTCTCCACCAGATTTTCAAAATATGAATACTAGTAGGTTTACAAAAAAACCCATTCGGATTTTCAATTTCCAAACTGACATGTTAGTAGTTTTGGTTCGGATTTTGAAATTTTGAACCAATAGCATTTTGGGTGGAAAAAAAAAATGAAAACATGGAAATGAGCGTAAATTACAATGGCCATGGATTTTTAGTTTGGAAAAGAATGGGCATAAACGTCCCTCTATTTTATGCAAGGAAAATATTTCTATGTGACCCCAACAACGTATAAATTATAGGGAAATATTTCTATACTTCCCCTACAGCATAGAAGATCCATACTTCCCCTACCATCCAGCCGTCCAATTGTGATCAAGAGATCCACTCACCGTTTGATCTTAGATCCGACGTCTCAAAGTATTTTATTTTTAGTTATTTTAATACAAATTGTATGATTATGAAATTTGGTACGTACCATCTTCTAATTAGGGCGCACCTATAAAAAATATTACAAATATGTTTTCGAAAAAAATATAATGACAAAAATACCCCTTGAAACTTTCAGGGGTATTTTGATTATTTTTATTTTATTGAAAATATATTTTTTTATATTTTTTGCTAGTGCAAGCTTAATAGGAAAGTGGATGTCCAAAATTTGGTGTCAAAATAGTTTATAGAAACAAAATAAAAATAAAACAGCGTAGAGACGTGTCATTATGATTGGAGCAATCTTAGCCATCCATTCAGAATGGACGGTTGGATAAGGGGAAGTATATAAGTTTTATGTTGTAGGGGAAGCATAGAAATCTTGCCCTAAGTTATATGTGACCCCACTTTTTAGCCTTTCGATTCAAAATCGACAGCTACAATTGTTCATGCCACAATGTTATACTTAATTTTTCATTTTTTTTTTACAGAACATTTTTAGATAGTTTTTGGTGTCCCATCATAAAATTAGGGTGAACCTGAAAAAATAAAAAACAAATATTTTCTATAAAACTAAATGATAAAAATGCCCATGAAATTTTCAGGGGTATTCTAGTAATGTTTTTCCACCAAAAATATTTGTTTATTATATTTATCATGTGCGCCCCTGTCACATCTATGTATGCCCCAAATTTTGTTTCAAAATTATTTGTAGAATAAATATAAAAAAAATAAAAAACTATGAGCCGTCCAACCAAGATACGATGGTTACGACCCAATTTGTGACATTGTGATTCAAACCATCTCAACCATTTACTCAATTCTGACGGCTAAGATCAGGAGTCACATATATAGTTTATGTGGGTGGCGTTACATTAAAGGCTCTCCCTTATCTACTTTTGTTGTTTCTTCTAAATGGTTCATCTTTACTGAAAAGATATCATATTTGCACAGCCTTTCAAGCTCCTGAAAAGATATCATATTTTCACTGCCTTTCAAGCACCAAATTCATCCATGAGAATTTGAGAAATGTTTCAAGTCTAAAACCTTGACAATCAGAGCACATGAATGAGTTGACCGACTCAACCAACACCTTTTCCAAAAATAGTGTACAATCGTATATGCTAAGAAGGCAATATCTTCACTAGAAATTGTCATCTTCTATCTCAGATCTCCACCAAATCTGGAGAATTTTGAATGAAACAAAAACAAACGAAGCAAGGTGATATATGAACAGGTATGGAAGCGATATATAATTTTGTTGTAAACCACGATCGAATCTATGGAAGCATTGGTGTATACAATCCTGTTGGTATCGACTTTAGGAATAATTTTTTTTGCTATCTTTCTTCGAGAACAGGCTAAGGTTCCGAATAAAAAAATGAAATGATTTTTCATTATCTCAATTTTAATAATGAACCTCCTGGACTTTGCACCTTCCTATCCACTTATAAAAGGAGGAGGCATTGGGCAAAATGCACACATTGATCATAGGAAACCAGTGCTTCAGTAAAGAGCTACTGAGAGAATACTTTCAAGTGCTTATGAGAAGTTTCTTGAATGTGAAGTTCTTATTTTTTTTCTCTCCTTTTATCTTTTCCCTCTTTTTATCTCCAGTCCTTTAGGCTTCAGCTTAATGGTAGGCATTTCGTGTATCTGCTGCTTAGTGGTAGATATATCGGGTTTGTGTGAAGAATGTCTAGGGTTCGAAACCTTATAACTTGTCCTAAAACACCAAACGTGCAATGCAGGCTGCTTTTTAATAGAAATTAGCCTATTGGGCAAGATATTACTGAAAAAAAATCTATTAGGACAAATTTCTAGTAATAAAAAGTTATTAGAAAAAATCCAGAGGCAGAAAACACCTTAGGAAGAAAGAGAAGATGCCTACAGCCGTCGACTCAACCGTCATGCTCCCACCACCCATTGAGGCCTCTACCATGGTACCACCTCACCTCCGGCCAAAGCCCGACGCTGTAAAATACTTAGAAGACGTTCCTGTAATTGACCTTTCACCACTCCAGACGCCAAATTCTCATGACTTGGCGGACATTGTCGCTCAAGTACACAAATCTTTAAAGGAATGGGGCATCTTTGTGGTTGTAAACCACGGAGTGGCGCCAGGCCTTTGGCCCGAAGTTATAAGAGTTATGTCTGAGTTTTCAAAACTTTCATTCGAGGAGAAGCGAAAGGTTGCCAGAAACCCGAACATGCCATGGGGTTACAACGAAAGTGACCACACGAACAACATAAGGGACTGGGCCGAGATTTTCGACTTCATGTTGAAAGAAGAACTTTCGATCCCAGCATCGTTGGAGCCAGATTGCCAAGAGACATCGACTCTCCACAACCAGTGGCCAGAAAACCCGGCAGATTTTCGGTATCTGAGAAGCCCATTCTCTCTCACACACACCCCCACACACACTTCCACACAAGAACATATACAAAACTCCTTATCTCTTCCTCAATTCCATTATCTATCCTACCATCTTTATAACCGAAGGTTCTATTAAAAATTTAAGCTTCATTTTAGGGATGACTAGGATATTTTGTTTAGGATAAAATAGGATTCAAATGTTCCACAAAATGGAGGCAACTTTTTTTTGAGCATTCAAAATGGAGGCAACTTATAAACTAACATTAAGATCAGCTGTAAAGCTCGAATAAAGAGCTCATCTATGCTGCATACTAACTGCCTGATTGTGTGTTTGTGGATCGACAGAGAAAGGATATTTGCTTTAAAGAGTGATGTGACCCCGTATCCTCTCTCTTTATTTTCTCTTTATTTTTTCCTTTTCATGGAGATTGGCTCATATGTGCTTTTTTCTTAGGAAGAATTCTCGTCTTAAAAGTATCGAGTATTGACTAATTTTTATTGCTCTCTCTCATTACCATAGAAGAAGTTGGGTGCAGTTTATACAAGGTATCAACCTTAAACAGCCAAAGTAAGAGCAAAAGCAGTTTTGGTCCCAGATTCCTTGAAAATCTATTCCTACTATGAATTATGAAATGAAACATCTACGTGGGGATCAGTTTTTTTCCCCTTTATTACAATATGCTCCACATTATTCCAAACTTACATGGAGCTCCTTTCCCCCCGTCGACTGTTCGCCTTTTTTAATTTTTTATAATTTTACCCCCCATCCAATATTTCCAACATCGGATAGGTGGGAAATTGGCTTTTTAATTTTTTTTTTATTTTCATTGGCTCGTTAAATATCATTGTACCCTTATTTCTTAGTCTATTCAATATTGATGATGTTGGACCATCCTAAAACATACGTTGTGTTCAACATTTGTGATATTGGATATCTCCAAATCTTTGCCTTTGGGCTATTTGATATTTGCAACAGCATATGTTGTTTTCAACGCTTGTCATATTGGACATCTCCAAATCTTTGTCTTTGGGCTATCTAATATTTGCAACAACGGCCATGTCTCATACCTAGGATTGAGATGTTCGGTGCTAGCAACATCTGACATTCTAACATGTTTAAATCCCTGGCTATGGGCTGTCTGATATTTTCAACGTTGGACACGTCTCTTAACAACAGACGAGGTGTCTAGTATTAGCAACATCAGACAACCTAACATCTCCAAATCCTTGCCTTTGGACCGTTTGATATTTTCAACATCGGATAGG